TATTAATAAAACTGTATTTATTGTTATTGGGTTCTAATACAAATGTAATTATAGTAATTGGTTTGATATATTAGAACCCAATAACAATAAATACAGTTTTATTAATATCATAATTATTACCAGTAATAAACAAACATTACAGTCAGTCTAAGCACACAATTTAACACATTTGCAATGTAATACCAAAGGTATTAACTGAATTACTTTGTTAACACATTCCTGCACATTCATGTAAACTAAACACAATAATAACAAATAAATTATTGAACACATGCACACCATAGTTACTTGGGATACATAAAGCAGCATACATATGAATACAGTACCTGGACTGTACAAGATGCTTTGTGTAAAGTTGTCTCCAAACACTGTAACATATCGTGTCCTGGATCAAACATGTCTCCAGACTTGACAGGAGCTGCTCAAATAATGATGATCAATTTTAACACTATTATATGACACACACACACACATTTTTGTGTGTGTATGAAACATATTTGTATTGTATTTCTGATGATAAATAACTACAGTATTTCAGGAATTAGGAGGACAAGTACATATAGCTACACTCCCAAATACCAAGGAACTGCTTCTGCCCTCTGAATCTTTGCAGCAGGTTTTCAACAAGGAGCACCGAGTAACTAACTTATGAACAGTTTTCTGAGGAAATAATGTACATTATTTAAAAATACTTGATCAATGGCTTTTGTTACATAATAATTTAGGTAGCTCTGACAAAAGAGAACAATGAAGTGTAAAACAGCCATTTAAAATAATTCTTTCATCATCAACTATTAAGAAAATACCTGCAAAATAAATTTTCATTAAAAGAAATTTGATCAAGTGTACTTTAAAAAATGCAAAATACTAATAACCATGTGAATGCTTGATACAAAGTTAAAACTCAACATTACCAATTTGCCAGAAATACAAATAAGAAAACCTCAAACAAAATATCATCTTGACTTTAAAACAAAAATTGGATATCTTATTTTCAACAAAATAACATTGTAAAAACAAGACTACTAGGAATCTTTATCACTGAAATAAAAAATGGAATATTTATTTGTGATTTTTATTTATATTACGTAGTAAATTTTTATTTGAAAAATGTTATTTATCACCTCTGTGTCTTAACTTTTGTGTTTTACCAATTTATCAACAAAATTATCAACACACTATAAGAAGTTTGTTGTTGTCATGTTTGAATAATACAATTTTCATTTTATTAATTTCCAAATGTAGTTATTCAACAGAAAATATATTTCACTTTGTGCTTTAACAATACACTTTCCCATTGTTCTAATCTCTCATGTTAAACATTTTATCTCAGACTGTCCTTTATGAATATTGAATACGACAAAATTAAAACTAGTCATTTATACCAACCAAGTAGTTTAAAGTATCCACTTTAATAATAAACCACTAAATAATTAAACATTTCTTTTTAAGATTGTTAATGTACATGTATCACATAGCCAATAATGGTTCAATATTTTCTGAAATTACAAAAACTTGTGGGATAAAAAAACATTAATCTCAAAACTAAATTTTAACAAGATTAGCTTTCTTAAAGGCCACATGTAGAAAGGTCTCAAACACAAGATTTGTAAGTCAGAACATTGTTGCAACATCTGGTCAATCACCTACAAATTACTTCTTGAAGAGAACATATTGAACATTATAAAACACAAACTATGTGGAACAAACAATGAAATGACAATGTTTTTATTTTATTATTAATTTTCATGTGTTTTGTTTATAAAGCTCATAATAAAACATTTGGAACAACTTCCATTATTGTGTGAAGAATTCTTTCAAACTCAGGTGAAACACCTGCAAGATATAGCTGAAGTGCCAAGCTCCACGCAAAACTACAAAACAAGCCACATCTATACAAACTGCATATTATACACTTATAATAAACATCATTTCTTTGAAAATGGTAAAAAATACATTTGAAAAAAAACTTCCTCCCCATTTCAATAAAAAAAAACACTTCATAATTTATAACTGCTTAGCCATTAATAAATGAATACTACAGTTTGAAGTGGGCACATAGTGGTATGCACATTATTAGATGTTCAAGGAAAAATTGATGTATAACATCATATATTTAAATCATTTTTACAAAGCTGTTCTAAAAACTGTAAATTTGTATTTTGAATACTCAGTTATGGTATATTATTTATTTTAAAATTAATACATACCTCTTTCGTCAAAGCTGGTGAACAAGAGTTTTGTAGCCTTCGTAAGTAAGAAGGAAAGAAACTTCTGTAATTACTTTCTGGACTAGTTCCATAGCTTAGTGCCTATAAGAATATTCAACACATGTTACTTCAGAACTTTGTTTCTCCATCTTTTATCTCAAAATGTATTTAAAAATTGAATTTATGGGATTTCATTCTTTTAGGTTTTATACAAGCTGTTATTGACACTGTAGAATCTTGTTAGCAAAGATAATTTCATGTAAAGATGTTTAAAATTTATTTTTCATTTTATTTTCTAATCATTTGTAGAAAAAAGGCTGCTTGTAGAACCCACAAATAAAATCCTGAATAGGGCTGCAAATAAAAAACAAAGATAATCGAAAATAAACATGTCAAAAACAACATTAAACAAATAAAAGACAATGCAGAATATAAAAATTGTTTGATATAAATTAGATGCTAGCCTCAAACCTTAAAAAAGTGTAAAGTTCAGGAGAAGAACATTAAAAAACAAAGTAATTTCAACAAATGCACAAATGTGTATAATGTAAAAGAGGAAAAAACAAAATAACTGACAACCAAGACCTTAGATTCTGAAGATTAAAAGCTGTGATGAAGACTTTTAAGTAGATTTTTTTAGGTTTATTATTTCATAGAAACAATGACACAGTTTTTCAGTAAATTCACTCTGAATACTAGTATTAAGAAGATTGTGATGAAATCTTGTTCAGAGTGCTGACTTTCAAATGTGATGATAATATAGTTGTAATGATGGCTTTTTTTGGTGGACTTAGGAATGTAATGTTAACAAACAGATGAGAACATTTTCAGAAAATTTACTTTGAAATTGATAATGAAAAACAGTGAATAATACTAAATCAAGAATTTGTGCTGAGTACATTTGAGTAGACTTACTCTACAGACTGATATTAACTCAAGAATTTGTGCAGAAGACTTTTTGTGTGGAAGATTTTTTTTTATTAGGCTTCCTTTGAGTCTATAACCAAGTTTTTCATTACGAAAGAAACATATTACTGTTAAAATACAAACTAACAAGTTGAAGATTCTGTTGTAATAACATATCAGTCTTTCTTTGACTTTTAAAATATACTTAGTGATTTACTTTGCCAACAAAAAAAAAGTTACTTATCACTTAAACTCACATACACTGAAAACAGATCACTGGAACTGTGGAAACAAATGTTATATTAGTATTTCTAAATGTAATGTTAAAATTATTTTTATAATTTAATATAATTTCTCAACAATCAATTCTTGGCAAATGTTAATCCCTTTATTATTAGCGACTCAATTTTTGCCTCTTTATATTGCCTTTTTTTTCTTCTTAGAAGTGCAAATGAAAAGTCAAATGTTTCAATGTATCATTTGAGTTTAACATTCATTTCAGATTAAAAGGTTCTCTACTAGAAAAAAAACAACTTTTCTTGAAGTGGTGATGATGTGAACTGAAAAGACTAAAAGATAATTTTTATACCAGTTCACCAAAAACTATCACAAACATTATTATCATTTTGTGTGATTCACAAATCTAGAAAATTGATACATACCTTCTGTATAAAGTTATGTGGAAAAAACTTAATAGCTTTTTATTAGCTGCACATGATTAAACTCATCACGACCTTAACATACTATGCTATTTACAGGAAGATCAATATTAATATACGAAATTTGCATACCTTTAACTTTGGATATAAAGACTGCAGTTTCTTATGCAAATTATCATGTAGGCCCGTAGAAGTGAAGAGAAAATCAAAAACAGAGAAAAACTCCCGAACTCCTAGAACATCACTAGCACATTTAACCTTTGGATGCATACTACCAAAAAGAATTTAAAAACATAATTCTCTGTTAGGAAACTAATGATTTACAAACAAGCATTAGAAAAATAATCAGCATGAAATGTCTGTTGAGCAAAAATACATTCCTAAAACAAAAATAAAACCTAATTTTTTAAATTTGATTTCCTAAGATGCTGACTACTGTTTCATGCAATAAAACTCTTCCAATTTACTTATTTTACAGATATTAAATTGAATTACCAGTTAGCACACTTATGTTATCATTAAAGATAAATGAAACAAAATACCCCTTGTATATTCAGAAAACAATTAATCTCATAGATTAAGTTCTAAATTCATATTTTACCCATTATGCCATGCCCCAGGCCACCATTATACCCCGGAGTATCCCATAAACTCTTATATATGGTACACTCCTGGGAGTGTCAGTGTTTTTGGAACATCTAGGCCAAGGCACTAGGGGCATAATCATCACCAAGTCTAGGGCAACTGGGTGAAAGTCCTCAGTAGTCATATATGTCGATCAAAAATAAATTAATAAAAAAAAACAGGACAAAAAAACTCCTGACATCCTGAGGTATGGCATAATGGGTCATTTACGGGTAAGTTATCAAAACATTTCAATACTGTGTTAAAATTGAGTTTAATATGTAGTTACAACTTTTGTACAGATAAGCCAGACATCTAATTGCATAATGTACAATACAGTTCTGTGCAAGACCCATCCACAGACTGCCAAGAATATATCTGTCACTCAAACACTAAAAATACATTAAAAAGAGAAACAAGCTATTAAATCACTTATCTATAAACACAAAGTGTCAGATGAAATTAAATTACTTTATACTATAGAATGTTCAATCTTAAATATTTTATACATTATCAGATGCAACTATAAATGATAAAAAAACTGTAATCTGCATTTTAACAGAAAACTTACTTCAACAAGTTATCCAAGTAGTCAATAGTGAACTTTGAATATGCTCTCATCCCAACCATAGGAAGCATTAACTCAAGCCAAACTGAAAACATAAACACATAAAAAATTATTACAACTATCAAGTGGAAAAAAAAGCTATTTTTTTACTTCAAAATGTGATTGCATTCAGACAGTCTCTCAGATTTAAAACTTACCAACCCAATGATTTATATGGTATAAAAATAACACATACCATTTTATTTCTAGATTCAATATTTTAATATTCTTGATGCAACTTATGCTTGAAGGTGGGAAGAAAGTAATGATTAAGGGAAATCGCCAAGTTCACTAATATTACATATCAAACAAGAAAATTGCCTTCAACTTCTTTGTACACTAACAAATATTTAGGGTTCACTAATACAAACATTCTTTGATAGATTAATTAGGCAGAGTATTCATGATGTATCTTAGTTAAATGGATGGCAATTGCCTTTTATAGAAACACAAGTGTAGAGGGTGATGTTTCGAAAGGTGCTGAAGATGAAAGGCAAAAAACTTTCAAAACATCATCTTCTACACTTGTGTTTCTACAACAGGCAGTTGCCTCCATTCAACTAAGTTTTATCATTACAAACATTGTTTACAGTGATTGTCTTTCAAGCATTTTGTGTGTTTGTGGATTATGCCTTCAACACTTCATTCAACTGGTTGACTAAGTTTTTTTTTTAATTATTTATAGTGATAATTCAAATTATGAATCAATGAAAGTAAATTTTCTAACAAACTTTATTGTAAATGAAAAAGTCAGAACACTAATTGTCTGACCTCAACAACACAAAATAATATGAAGTTTCATACTCATATTTAAAACCCATATGAATGAAGGGAGACAGAGACAGCTTGTACTCTTGAATAGCTCAGATGGACAAAGCACTGGCCCTGTTAATCAAAGGTCCCAAGTTCAAGTCCCACCTTTTTTTCACCTTACCAGGTTTTTCTCTTATAATAATAATTATAGAATATTTGTAGTGCTGCTGAAAAATGTTTTTAAGAGATTTGGTCAGGACAGTTTGAATGTGATTTCAGTTCATTTTAGCAGATTCTCAAAATTTGGAACTTTTGGTCATTAAAAGCCATATCAATGTTACCAGTTGGTACATGGACTAGAGAGTAATAAAAGGCAATGATTTACACTTACAATCTTAATAAACAATATCTGATATCACTTTCAATTTATCTAAAAAAAAAACTGTTATAAGTCAGTATTTTTCTGGCAAGAATAGTTAAATGTTGAATATTTAACAGTGCAAGCTTGTAAAGGATGTCTCTAAGGATAGGTTCTAATTTAATCAATAGCTCTATACCTTTAAAATAAATGGAACTAAATGGTAAACCTTATCTTTACTGAACATCATAAGGTAATTTAGTCAGAATTTCATGCACATTTTATCAATATGTTAATGTATTAGGTTATCAAGAAATTAATGTTGCTTTTTTTTAGATGAAAAAACCCCAAAAACTTGTATATCAAAACAAAACATTTATTAAATGATGCTTTTCAATCTTACAATCAGGTTATTAGTCCCCTGATTAAAGAAATCACTTGGCTTTAAAGCAAAAAACATGTTGATGTCTTCTTTAACATCTTCCACATTTGCATACGTTTTCCCATTCAGATGCCATTGCAGCAAACGAAAAAGATAGTAATCTGATGGTGCCATATCTGGAGAATATTTTGGGTAGGGGAGAATTTCCAACCCAACTCCCTAATCTTGTGTTGCGACAAACTGCCACATGTGGACGTGCATTGTCGTGGAGAAGAAAAACACCTTTCCGATTGATGAGTGAAGGGCGTTTCTGATGAAGGGCTTGATTTAAATGTTCCAGTTGCTGACTATAGATCTCTGCATTGACAGTTCGCTGTGGATTGAGGAGTTCGAAACGAATTACTCCTTTGATGTCCCATCAAATGCAAAGCATCACTTTCTGCGGATGGAGTCCAGGTTTGGGGGTCGGAAGTGGTTTTGTCTAGAACTGAGCCATTGTTTTTGGCGTTTTAATATTCGCATAGAGAATCCATGTTCAAAAATGGTTGACGCACATTACGCGTCAGAAGAGACGAAGCAATGTTCACACGTTGGAAACGATGATCATCGGAGAGTTCGTGAGGCACCAAACACCTTATTTATGGAGTTTTCCCATATTCCTTAGACGTTTACGTATTGCTTCATGAGAGACATACAATTTCGTGGCCATCTCACGAGTATGTTGCCTTGTGTTAGATTCAACAAGCGTCTTCAGAGCATCAATGTCAATTCCAACATGTCGGCCATCATAATTTTTAAGGCTAAAGTCACCTTAATAAAATTTGCTGAACCATCGTTGACACTTACGAACGTTCAGAACATTTCATAAACTTCCTTGTTCTCCTGCAGAAGAATAGTCAACTATTCGAAACCGCTCGAGTTTTGGGTCTTATTTTAAGTTTATTACACTTTATATGTGTGATCCTTTGTGCTAACTCTTTTGTCAAGATCCATAAACTTCTTTGATATTCTTTGTGGTTACAGAGGCGTTGTTTCCCTTATTGTATTCAAACAGCATTACATGCCGAATATGTGTCTCGTCGTGTGCCATCACTATAAGGGATTAGAATATAGTAAACTTTACACATTATATAGGCTACACTAACGTGACGCTTAGGCGGTTCGTTTGAAAACTTTACCAAAACGCGCCCTTCATTTTTTGACGACTTAATATTTCAACATGGTGCAGGATGTGTTGTATAATTCATAACATACGGATATCAGAAAATTCGAGTTCACAAAATAGTAATATTTAATTCATTCCTTTTAAAGCACTAAGATTAGTTTTATGTTTATCGAATACATCTTTGGACTGTGTTTTATTGAGTGCTCTAAAAACAGCTTAAGTGTATCGATGCTGCAATTTTTAAATAAAACATTAGCATGCGAATTTTCTAGAACGAAGTATGTATTTAGTATATATATATATATATACATAAACTATATTTTTAATGTTTTTTTGTAACCTTTGATTTTTTTCTTGAGGGGATTGGAAATCATACGTATTAGATATGTGTTACACAATAGGCTATCTTCACTTTTTACATCTCGGGGATCAAAATTCGGATTTTAGCGTTTTAGATCCTTAAACTTACCGCTGATATACCGGGCGATAAGAAAATTAGCTTATTTGTTTGTTTTTAAGTACAAAAGCTACACAATGGGCTATTATCTGTGTTCTGTCAACCGCGGGTATCGAAATCCGATTTTTAGCGTTGTAAACCCTCACACTTATGGCTGAGCCACTAGATACAAAAATATTAGAGAGATCAAGTTCGTAGTGAACTATAAGATAGCTTACATTAAATCCTAGCATTCCTGAAACACTCACGGGTTAGTAAACATTAAAAATCGGGTGTCGATACCCGAGGTGGGCACATCAGAGAAAGCCCATTTGTGTATTCTTGCGCTTAACAGCAAAACAAGTAACTGAATATCATACACAATGCTAAGATTTAACTATTTTGATCTTATGGATATAAAAACTAAAAAGAAAATTAAGGTGGTTATAATACACTGGAAAAAAAGAAGCATCGCTAATTCTCAACCATAGTTGAATAAAATATATTTTTCATCAGAGTTCTGCCCAAGATTTCAGCATTGTATGACTAGTACTACATTGAATTCGTGTCCCAGAAGCCAGGGTCAATGTAGGACCCGTGTTCCAAGAATCCAGAGTTACTGTAGGACTAATGTTTCCAGAAGACATGGGCACTATGGGACCCGTGTTTCTAGAACACACGGTCACTGTAGGACCCCTGTTCCCAGAAGTTAGGGTCACTGTAGAACCCCTGATTCCAAAAGCTAGGGTCACTGTAGGACCAGTGCTTCCAGAAGCCAAGGTCACTGTAGAACTCCTGTTTTTAAAAGCTAGTGTCACTGTTGGAGTAATGTTTCCAGAAGACAAGGTTACTATAGGACCAGTGCTTCCAGAAGCCAAGGTCACTGTAGAATCCCTGTTCCCAGAAGTTAGGGTCACTGTAGAACCCCTGTTTCCAAAAGCTAGGGTCACTGTTGGAGTAATGTTTCCAGAAAACACGGTCACTATAGGACCAGTGCTTCCAGAAGCCAAGGTCACCGTAGAATCCCTGTTCCCAGAAGTTAGGGTCACTGTAGAACCCCTGTTTCCAAAAGCTAGGGTCACTGTTGGAGTAATGTTTCCGGAAGACACGGTTACTATAGGACCAGTGCTTCCAGAAGCCAAGGTCACTGTAGAATCCCTGTTCCCAGAAGTTAGGGTCACTGTAGAACCCCTGTTTCCAAAAGCTAGGGTCACTGTTGGAGTAATGTTTCCAGAATACAAGGTTACTATAGGACCAGTGCTTCCAGAAGCCAAGGTCACCGTAGAACCCCCTACTCCCAGAAGCCTGAAGGATTAGGTTCTGATATTCCTGGACAATTTGTAAAAGTTTACAGCAATTCCAATATAAACCTCATGCGGACATTGAAAGATCTAATTCATATTGATTCAAGTATTTGATCTTATAGAGATCTTGTTTTAGTTTGGGTGGCACCGACACCCACCAAGAGCAGATCTTTGATACATGACTAACCCTAATCTCTTCACATAAAAAAAAGGGGGAAGAGGAGGAGGAACAAGTTAAATCAACATCTAGTAAATTCACAAAAACCTCATATTTTCGGTACGAGTACTTTTATTAATTCATATCCATACCTTAAGCTCGTATGTTTCCTTCTCCTCACGGTCTAATACGACTTGAGGATTTTTGGGCAAGAAAAGGACCTCTCCATTATCTTCAATGTGGAATAGTTCGTTTCCCTGTCCACTTAAGGAGAAACGAATTATTGAATTGTCTCCACTGTCGTTGTCCACTGCCGAAATCTTTGGCTTCTATTAAAAAGTCACAAATTTGGTTGTCTCTCTCACTACAGCTATTTAAAATACATTTATAAAAAAATGTGCCACTCAAGTGTAATATGGAACATATATATATATATACTTATATTACTTGGTGCAAAATTATTCACACTTTTATGCCATGGTGTTAAACAAATTGAGCCCTTACGAAAAGTTTTTACTCCAGCTAATAATTCAAATTCTGTTTACATAACTTCCTTGGTTAAAAATCCCCCACGTAATCCAATGTACTATATTTACAGAGATCTCAAACCTTCAAGCCAATTCCGTATACACAAGATTACAGGTTTTACGGAGAGAATGTGTTAACACTATCCATGTGCGTTCGCAGAAATTTTTACGTGGGGGGGGGAGTTTTCCAAGGGGAGGCAAAGTAGTGTGAAATTGTGAAAAAAAAGTATTTTGTTCCTCATTTTCCGGGGGGAGGGGTGTGTGCAAGTGACCCCCCCCCCCTTCCGGAGGCACCCATGCCACCTTCACATAATTACAAAAATGGGAATAGCTCTTTACGTGTTATGGTTACATAACCATGGTTACTATCCACTCCCATGATAGGCTGGACCACACTTACTATGGTTACGACTTTGCTACAGGTAATGAATGGTCAGCCCTACTCACTGTGGTCAGGGGTATCTTACAAGTAACAACAAACACAAGTTACTTTGGCTTCAATGTTTCCTTACATATAAAAGATTAATATTACCAACAGTGGTTAGGTTTGTGTTACATGAAAATGCATGTAGTTACTTAATAGTTGGGTAACACAGTCCTGCGAATTTGAGCTTCATAAAAGTTGTTTCGGTTTTTAATAACGGATTTTCCATAATTCAGCTACGCAGATTTCGTAAATAATATTCATTTTTTTCTATCACGTAATGATTTTTTTTACAAATCGGGAAGAAAAAAAACTTACTTAGATCAAATTATAATATCGTTTACCACAATAAACATTTTTTATTATTATGTTTGTTAAGAAAAATACAGACAAACTGAAGAAAAAGGGAAGAACATTGATGTCAAACGAATATGCATCCTCATTCATCCTGATTTTTTTGTGTAAAATCTACATCTTTTAGTCTCAAAACTACGTGTTGTGGTCATTCTTTTATGTATTGCGTTATGACGCTTTGTGAAAAATCTGTACATGATGGAGAAAAATGGATATCATTTTCGGATTCCGCGGACAGGAATTACCGTAGAACATGTAAAAAACATAAAATAAAATCGCAGGCTTATGTAATCGGATTAACAACTGTTACTACTACAGTATTAAGACCCTTAACGACCCGGAGTTCACCATGATGAATCTGGAAAAAAACTTACCTTTGTGTTGTGAAACTATGGTTGTAACAAACAGTGTCTCTGATGGCCAGTTTAAACTTCTCATTGTTCATTGTTATTACTAACAGTGGTCGCATTTGAGCATAAAATTAAACAAGGATTACCGATTACAATGGCGTGACTGTGGTCCTTCCGGTGAAATAAAGATTGGTCACTTGAGTTAAACTTTGATTATACTCACAGAGGACTTATTCAAAATTATATGGATCTTACTATGGATACTGGAGATCCTGAAGGCGCATTCTCTTTCACAGATCCCTGGTAGGACTGGAGAAAAGTCGGAACTTGGTCGTTAACATCCAGCACCTCAACAGATACCTCGCTCACGCTCTATACATGGAAACCATGAATTATTATTAACATCCAGCACCTCAACAGATACCTCGCTCACGCTCTATACATGGAAACCATGAATTATTATTAACATCCAGCACCTCAACAGATACCTCGCTC